TTCTCGTCTTAGGTTGCCGACCCTTCCAGTACGGCATTCGTCGGGGCCGGCCTATCCCAGTAAACCCTCTGCTTCTGTGTGTTCTGTGCTTTGTCCAGGCGGGGGCACTCTCTTCGGTACTCTCTTTGCTGATTGGCGCTCCTTTATGCAGAGTATCGGCCCTACTCGATACGAGCCGATACGAGCCCTCCTCTGTGCGAGAGAAAGTATCCAGGGCCATCGTTTGCTTCGGTCGACCCGACCCCACCACCACCCCGCTCACCGACCAGACACGCCAACTCACGGCATTTTTTTTTTTCCACTTTATTTATTTTTTATTTGCGAAGCCAGTTTGTTCGAGTTTGGTTTCGCGAGTGGTCCATTATGAATCACACATCAATGCGTTTAGTTAAAGTGCCCTGCACATGGATATACAACTGCGGGCGAGAAGAGCTTTCGTTCGAAACGGCTGAGCGATAACTGGTACCAATCGCTCAGCAACTGCTGCTGCTGCTGCTGACGCTGCTGACAGGCCCGAGTCAGTAATCAGATCAGATCGCCTCCTCGCCTCCCGGCCGTACATCCGATCGTTTCCTTTTGATTGGCTGGTCTCGCCTGGCTCGCCTCCTGGAGCCCCTGGAACCCCTGGAACCCCGGCGTGAGTTTTATTGCAGAGACTCCCCCGGCTGCTTTCTGCCCCGAGCCGGGAGCCCCCTACAGAAATTGCATTTTTATATTTTTTAAATGGTGGGGTATATTTTTCGTGGGGTATATTTTACATGACCGGCTATGATAGGGTCATCCTGCAAAACCCAAAGAGGCTTTTAAAAAAAAATTGTGGAGAATATTTTGGTGGGGTATAATTTTTGTGTGGTACATTTTACATGACCCAGCAACCCCATGTGGTTTTTTTTTTAAGGTACATTTATCATAACATCCCTAACACGTCCAATTTTATTTTGTTTTACTGCTGTAAAAATAAAATAAAGCGCCCTTCCCTCCTGATGCACGGCCCCTGTCCTGCTCTCTTACACCCCCGCGGCGACAAGTCAGCGGCTGCTCGGCGTGTTTGGATAAAAGCCGCCGCCGCCGCCACCGCGGTTGGACCAGTTAGGGACGCTGCCCGCCGCCGCTTTTACGGCTCAGTAGCTGAGCGGGCTGAGCGACATGGCTGCTGCTGCTGCTGCCGAGAGTGAAAGCTGAACCAGGAGGTAAATGACTGAAGCGATTGTGTATCTGTCCGCCGGGGCGAGTCCTCGCCTAGAGCTTGTTATCCGCCCGGCTGGCTCCATCTCCTATCCGTTTGCCCTGCCCCCCTCCCCTCCCTCCCCTCACTTCCTCCACCCCTCCCCTCCCCTCCTCCCTCACCTGTCCCCCTCCCGCGCCTACCGGCTCCAGCTGGCGCTACTCCCTGGTGCTGGACGCGCGTGGAGTATAGCGACCGCTTATAGCTCACACACACACACATGCGATTTTTTGCTGCTTTTGCTGCTCACGAATCTTCGGCGCGAGTTTTTGAATCTCCCGCGCGCTGCGCATTGTTTGTTGCAATCTGCCACAAGCCCGACGTCATGTTCGGGGCAACGCACACAAATTATGTCATTTAAAAATCATTTAGAAATAATAAATGCGAGTGGACGCTGCATGGTTTTCTGCTTTTTCACGGTACGCTCTCAGGATGCTGTCGCGATCGTTTAAAAGAATGCAAGTGTGTGCTTATATGGGGGAAAGTGTGATGGATCGTTATCAATGTTTCCCGGGCAGGGGTGACGTCATTTTTGCTGACGAGTTGTCTTCACCATCACAGTGTCTAAAATGAAAGTGGGCCGTGAAAAAAGGACTTTGCCATTGGGATTTTAATCTTCCAAAATATCGATTTTGGGAATCTTTTCAAGAACTTCTTTGTAAAAAATATAATTCTTCTCAGAGTTTTGTAGACAAAAAAAAATATGATTATTAAATTTTTTCTGGAAAAGTTTCGGACTTAAAAGTCTCCACTCCGCACTAAAAAAAAAGTGAAAATTAAGAAAATGACATAATTTGTGTCCGCTTTGCAGACGCACATGCGGGGGGCCTCCTTCAGGATGCTGCTCCACCACAAGTGCCGCAGCGCCGTCGCCGCGCCTTACTCGAGGGCGCCCGCCGTGCTGCGCTTGGCCGTCCCGGACGAGGCCGTGGCCTGGTCGGCGCCGTGGGCCGGCTACGCGCCCCGGGACTACACGGACCCGTGCGTCGAGGGCCGGCCCTGGGCCGACGCCGACCTGGGCGCCGAGGGGTTCCGGCCGGCGTGGAACGCCCTGGACGGCGTCGTGGACCGGCGCAGCCACGAGGGCGAGTACGCCGTCGGCGCCGGGGGCCGGCCGCTCAACCCTCGCGGCCGCACGGGGCTGGCGGGCCGCGGCGTCCTGGGCCGCTGGGGCCCCAACCACGCCGCCGACCCCATCGTGACCCGGTGGCGCGGCGACGGCGCCGCCCGGGTGCTGCAGTTCGTGGCCATCCGCAGGAGGGACTCTGGCGAGTGGGCGCTGCCCGGCGGCATGGTGGACCCCGGCGAGGCCGTGTCGGCCACGCTGCGCCGCGAGTTCCTGGAGGAGGCCGTCAACGTGCTCCGGGACCCCGCCCGGGAGAGGCTCGTCGGCGACTTCTTCGCCGGCGGCGGCGACGTCGTGTACCGCGGCTACGTCGACGACCCCCGCAACACGGACAACGCGTGGATGGAGACGGTCGCCTCGCACTTCCACGACGAGCGCGGCGACGCCGTCGGCGCCCTGCCCCTCGAGGCCGGCGACGACGCGGTCGGCGTGCGCTGGACGGACCTCTCCGCCGGCCTCGAGCTGTACGCCAGCCACTCGCTCTTCCTCAAGGCGGTGGCCGACAAGATGGGCGTGGCGTTGTAGGCGCAGCCCGCCCGCGGAGGCGGGGGTAGGCGACCCGCCCGACACAGCTGCGCGTCGAGCACGTGGTTGCCTACCCGGGACGCGCCAGGCGTGCGGCCGCCCGCAGAAGTGCGGGTAGGCAGCCGGCCGAGCTGCACTGCGCGCCGAGGAGGAGGTTGCCTACCTGGGACGCGCCAGGCGTTCCTTTTGGACTCCACAGTTTTGTTTTGAAACAATTCTCTGCATTGCAACGATCTTTATTGATGCGACTTATAAATCTGAGATGGGTGTGCTCAACGGGTAGGACGAGGACATGAATATCGAGATATCTTGGTGCGTTGACGTTGACGTCTCTTATTTGCTATACTCGTTTTATAAAGTTGATGCGTCTACGGTGTGCAATTTACGCTCTCGTGACGCAAGCTGATGTCTAGTTTTCTATTCGAACGTGAATTGTGAACAAAACGTTTGCAATCGATGTATCTCCCGACGCATACTGCATTCCATAAATTAATTAAAATAAAATGAATCATTTATAATAGCACAATGTTTTAAGACTATTTTAAAATACCTTATCAATACCTCGTACTTATTTCTTATCCTACAGGAACTTATCTAGTTACATAGCGACACTTAAGAATTAATGCATGAAAATTACAAGAGAAGGTAGCACAAGGTACAGTGAATCTAAGACTAGCATGGTCTTTACTTAAATACTTAGAAATAGCCTACAGGTACTCAGGTCCCGCGGCTGTCCCGTGATCGCAATCGATCGGGGCACCGCTACATCATTTGATTATGAGCAACTCACACACACACTCTCGAAATCGAACCCGAAATGAACCGAACTCCAACTTGCCTAGGATCGACAGTCCTGGAAAGTTTCCGGAACATCTCCGGGAAATTTTCCGGGAAAAAAAGAAATTTCCCAGGTCTCGGATTTTTCTTTCTTTGCCCCGAAATATTCGGAGGTTTTTTGAAATTCTTCCGGAAATTTTCGGAAGTTTCCAAGCCGAAACTTGCCTTCAGCAGCAGAGTTTTCCAGGCAGTTTGTGGCCATGTCAGTCGACCACACCGCGCCTCTGGAGTACACCTGTGGGAGAGTCTCTTTCGCGCGGGACTTTTCCGTCGGGTCTCGGTCGCGCCCGCGAGTCGTAACGAAACAATTGAGCCTGGGGGGGCTTCCCCGGGACTCGTAAAGGCGTGCAATACAGGGCGACGTGGAGGTCGGTCCAAAGAAGGGGTCTAGCACAATCTGCGATATTTTTGCGATATCATTTGTTGCTTTTTTTGAAAGAGGTGGGGTGGATTTTTCACCCTAAAAATATAGGAATAAATACGTCCGTAGGTAACATTTTAGCCGGTGGGATGACTCTTGTCATAGTGGAGGTGTAGAAAACGAAGCCCACGCGGAGGTCAGTTCGCCTCAGGACGTTCACTTCCTGGTGTCCGGCGTGGCACAGAGGCACCTATCGGTGAGGTACCCGAGCAGGTACCCGTCGTCGTCCTGGTGCGAGGTCCCCGATCAGGATGCGAGTCCTCCTCGCCGGCCTCAGGTGTTGGGGCCGTTGGCGTCCCCGGGGCTGAGGAAGGGCAGGTGCTCGTGGAGAGCGTGCAGGTCGATGCCCGGCGGGTAGGCGCTGGTGGCCGACGACTCCTCCGACGACTCGGCGTCCTCCTCGCCCTCCTCCGACGACGTCGTCGTCGTCGTCATTGTGGTGGAGACGGTCGTCATGGTGGTGGTCGTGGTGGACAGGTCCGCTGGCATCGTCTCGGTGGACTCGGTGGCCTGCTCCGAGGAGGCTTCGTCGACCGTCGTCACCAGGGTGGTGGTCGGCGTGCTGGTGCTGGCGTCGGTCGTTGTCGTCGGCTCCACGGAGACGTCCGTCTGCGTTGCGGCGTCCTTGACCCTGGGCTCCGGGCTGCGCTCCTCTGGCAAATTGCAAAAATGTTGCAAAATCATCAAAATCAAAAGTCAAAACATATTTATCTTTGTTACTCTGCCCTCGTACAAAAACTTTGTGCCAAAATAATGTGCCTAAAAAATCTTCAAAAAATGTGCAAATTTTTTGTGCAAAAAATTGTGCAATTTTTTAGAGACAAGAAAATTGTGCAAATTTTTGGAGACAAGAAAATTGTGCAAATTTTGGGAGGCAAGAAAATTGTGCAAATTTTTGGAGACAAGAAAATTATGCAAATTTTTGGAGACAAGAAAATTATGCAAATTTTTGGAGACAAGAAAATTGTACTACTTTTTGTGCTAATAAATGTGCGACTTTTTGCGCATGTTTACCTGGCGCCGGCGGGCAGTTGTCGTACTTGGGGCAGCAGCTGCCGGGCACGTGGCGGGGCGCGCAGTCGGGCCGGCGGTAGCAGTGGACGCGGGTGCACGCGGGCTCGCCGCCCTGGCAGTAGCAGGCGCGGCAGGGGTCCGGGTCGGCGCTGGCGGGCAGCCGCGCGCCGTTGTGGAAGACCGCGCCGTCCACCGTGCAATCTGTGCACAGCAGCATAATGACACGACGGTGTACGGGGCGCGCTCATGCGAGCAGGCGCACGACGACGCGAGCGCGGCCAAAAGGGGGTACTTCACTCCAAAAAAATCAAAGTGTACACCTCCCCAACCCCCCACAAAAAGAAACAGGAAAAATCAGAAATTTTTAGGGAAAGTCAGAAAAAAATCAGAAAATTGACAAAATCATCACAAATAAGATCTCTTTAAAAAAAGGACAAGGTTAAAAAAAATCCGAAAACAAAAACAGGAAAAAAATTGGTGCATGCTTCAATTTATAGTCAAGGGCGCCACCCTAACGACTCGACGGACCACCTAGGGCTACGCTGGTTCTACCTGCCCAGCGGATTACCTCCGCTTACCCTCCGGTCACTCCGCGTTACCCTCGGATTACCACCTGGATTGCCTTGCATTAACTCCTCGTATTATTAAACAGGGCTCATACCGGTCAGGGAAGTCAGGGAAGTCAGGGAAAAGTCAGGGAGTAAAAAAAGGTGTCTGGAAGTCAGGGAAAAGTCAGGGAAATTTTATTTGGGTCAGGGAAAACTGTTCAGTGTGGCCAAATACTGGCCATAGCCCAGGTAGTTTCACCAAAGATAGCATAAAATGCGGATTTAGAGTCAAAAAAATTTCTCGCGCGCTCCGCTTGCGAGCATATACGCCATCTTAGTCGATTTTCTTTACCAATATTCTGACTTTCATTATTATTAATATTTTTCAGTTATAACGAATTTATTTTTGCGCCCTGCTTTCACTGTATTTCTACCACACTGACCTTCTATTTTACTCAGAAAAGTCAGGGAAAAACGGGATATTTTGGTCTGGAAGTCAGGGAAAAGTAAGGGAAAATAGAAATTGGGATCTGGTATGTACCCTGTTAAACCGGGATTACCCCGCATTACACCCTTATTGTCCTGCATTATCCGGATTACAACCAAGCGCCTAGCGGGTTTTCAGGTCGGCCGCAACTGTATCGTGTTTATGAACACGTGTCGTGGCGACACACGTAAAGGGATTCAATCTTGTAGCGCTCGCATTTCTATTGGAGGTTTTTGACGGCAGCTGTCTGTGTCTATTCTTTCCAGAAACGACGCGTCGTGGGCATGGCTGACGCCGAGGCTGACGCCGGCGCGGAAAGGACCCCCGTCCCCCTCGCCCAGGACCTGGTGACCACCGGCAAACCCGAAGAGCACCTCCGAACCGACACGGGAAAAGGGCCGTTTGAGTGCGCTATATGCAACAAGAAATTATCAAGTAAAGGAACCCTGCGTACGCATCTACGAACACATACAGGAGAAAAGCCGTTTGGGTGCACTGTTTGCCACAAAACATTTTCTAGTAATGGAGACATGCGCAGGCATCTCCGTATACATACAGGAGAAAAGCCGTTTGAGTGCACTTTATGTGAAAAGAAATTCAAAAGTAGTGAAGAACAGCGCGTGCATCTACGTACCCATACAGGAGAAAAGCCATTTGAGTGCACTTTATGCAACAAGAAATTCGGATTTAGTGGAAAGCTGCGCAGGCATGTCCAAACACATACAGGAGAAAAGCCTTTTGAGTGCAATATATGCAACATGAAATTATCAACTATGGAAAGCTTGCGCTTCCATGTCCAAACTCACACAGAAGAAAAGCCATTTGAGTGCGCTACATGCAACAAGAAATTCAGAATTATGGGATACCTGCGCAAGCATCTCCAAACGCATACAGAAGAAAAGCAATTTGCGTGCATTGTTTGCAACAAGAAATTTGCACAATCTGCCGGTCTGCAAAGTCATCTCGTATCCCATACAGAAGAAAAGCCTTTTGAGTGCACTGTTTGCAACAAGCGATATGCTCGTAGTGTCAATCTGAAAATACATCTCCGAACCCACACAGGAGAAAAGCCGTTTGAGTGCGCTATATGCAACAAGAAATTCGCAACTAAGGGAGAACTGGGCTTGCATCTCCGAACACACACAGGAGAAAAGCCTTTTGAGTGCAATATTTGCAACAAGAAATTCGCAACTAAGGGAAACCTGCGCTCGCATGTCCAAACCCATACAGGAGAAAAGCCTTTTCAGTGCAATATATGCGACAAGAAATTCGCACAAATTGATCACTTGCGCAGGCATGAACGAACTCACACAGGAGAAAAGCCATTTGAGTGCACTGTTTGCAACAAGAAATTCGCAGGACAAGGCAACCTGCGCCAGCATCAACATACACATAGAGGAGAGAAGCTCTTTGAGTGCACCGTATGCAACAAGAAATTTACACAACCCAGCTGTCTGAGAATGCATCTCCGAATTCACACAGGAGAAAAGCCATTTGAGTGCACTGTATGCAACAAGAAGTTCAGAGAGAGTCACCACCTGCGCGGGCATCTCCGAACACACACAGGAGAAAAGCCTTTTGAGTGCACCGTTTGCAACCAGAAATTTGCAATAAAAAGCAATCTGCTAGTCCATGTCCGAGCGCACTCGGGTGAAAAGCCGTTTGAGTGTGCTGTGTGCAACAAGAAATTCAAAAGTAGTGGAGGACTGCGCAATCATCTTCGAACACATACAGGAGAAAATTCTGTTGAATGCTTTATATGCAACAAGAAATTGTCGCAACCTCAATGTCTGAGAATCCATCTCCGAACTCACACAGAGGAAAAGCCATTCGAGTGCACGTTATGCAACAAGAAGTTCACAGTGAGTGGGGACCTGCGGAGGCATCTCCAAACACACACAGGGGAAAGGCCGTTTAAGTGCACTGTTTGCGACAAGAAATTTGCAGTAAGTGGGTCCCTGAGAACTCATCTTCGAACCCATGGGGAGCACGTGTGACAAGAAACGTTTACCAATGAAACGTTGTGTTGTTGTTTTTACAACTCACACGTGCCAGTAGACTCTGAATCTGAGAATCGAAACATGTCTATGTGACGACGTCTGACGAACCGTTTTGCAAATTGTTATATTGCAACTGGGGATTGCGTGTGTAGCAACGTTTTGAGCCTATTTGTATTGTATTTGATGACCGTATGGAGGCGCCTCTTACACTGTCCGTCGGCGAGGGGCGCCAGGGTGGCTGCGGGCACGGCCCGCTCCTCGAGGGCGGGGGCCGGGGGCGGCGCGGGGGCGGCGGCGGCGGCGGAGAGCAGCGCGGCGGCCAGCGACGGCGGCGTCAGCGTGGTGCCACCCGCACCCTCCGCCTCAGCGGCGCCGGGCTCCACGGGGCCTGCAAGACATATTGGCAGCCACTCTGTTACAAAACCGTCTGGTACAAAAAAAAAAAAGTAAATACAAGCAGCAGGTTTAAACACAAAAGTCGTTCCTCCACTTTGTCGTGAATGTAAATTTCGGTAAATTTCAAAAAAAAAATCAATAAAATAAGATAAAAATGTAATTGAGTTCTCTACTTTGTTGTAAATGTAAAGTGCAAAAAAAAAATATCAATAAAATGTAATAAAAACGTAATAAAGTTCTCCACTTTGTCGTAACATAGAACACTATTCTTTTCAATTCCCCTAGGTTCTGGCAGTGTTATATTGATGAGCATCAGGTCCGGGTTGTTGCCCGGGGGGCCGCTTCCTTGTCGCGCGGGTCCGCCGCGGGCCTACAGGTGCCACCAGTAGCCCGGCGCCACTCCGCTGCGGCGGTATACTGCAATTTGAGGAAATTGTCCGCGACCTTGGTTTGTGGGCGTTCTGTGACCGTCTCGCTGCTCGCCGTGTGTACGCGGAGCGCACCGCCACTGCTGCGGCCAACGGCAGCCACCCCCCC